AAAGCCTGCTGGGAGTGCCAGCCCTTCCTTCTCTAATCCCATCGTGCAGTAGGCAGAGACAGCATCTGCAGGACAAGCTGGTTAGCAAGACTAGCTGAACAGGAGCTCTGGGTTCAGTGAGAGGCCCTGTCTTAAAACACAAGATAGAAGTAACTGAGAAAGATATCCAGTGTAGACCTCAGGCTTCCATAAGCACATACAAACACACATGAACACACATACACACATACATACACCACACACATAAAATAAGTAAGACTGGGGCTATAACTCTAAACACAGAGTACCTTCCTGGCATCTACAAGGCTCTGGGTTAGATTCCCAGAAAGAAGAAGAAGAAGAAGAAGAAGAAGAAGAAGAAGAAGAAGAAGAAGAAGAAGAAGAAGAAGAAGAAGAAGAAGAAGAAGAAGGGCAAATCAAATAGAAAAGAAAAATTCTAGTAACCCAGAGGGAAGCAATAAAAGGAAGCACAGACATGAAAAACAGAGATAAAAACAAAAATAAACAATATAACAAACAGTAAGCTAAAGCCTTATCACATCAATCATTACATTAAATACAAATGATTTAAACATGTCAATTAAAAGAGACCAATATATTCAGGTTAAAAATATGGTGAAACTATATGCTATCTTCAAGGACTTATTTCCAATATAATCACTTTAAAAGACTTACTTAATTTTATTTTATGTCTGTGTGTGTTTAACCTATATGTGTGTATGTGCACTGTCTTACTTCGGTTTCTATTGCTGTGAAGAGACAGCATGACCACAGCAATTCTTATAAAGGAAAATATTTAATTGGGATGGCTTACAGTTTCAGAGGTTTAGTTCATTATCATATTAACTGCATAACATGTCGTCATGCAGGCAGGTGTGGTGCTAGAGAAAGAGCTACATATTGATCCTGAAGGCAGCGGGAGGTGATCTGTCTCACTGGGCATGGCTTGAGCATGTATGAGCCCTCAAAGCCTGCCTCCAACAAGACTACACCGCTCCAACAAGGCCATATCTCATAATAGTGCCACTTCCTTTGAAGGACATTTTCTTTCAAACCACCACATGCACCATGTGTATAAAGTGCCCTTCAGAGGCCAAAAGAGGGTGTTAGATCCCCTGGAACTGGAGTTATAGTTGTAAGACTCTATGTGGATGGTAAGAATCCCTGGGTTTGGTCCCTAGCACAGAAATGAATGAATGAAGAGAGGAAAGAAGGGAAGGAGGGACTGAAAGGTAGCTCAGTGGTTAAGAGTTCTTGTTGGTCCTCCAGAGGACCTGAATTTGGTTCCCAACATCTTCAATAAGTGACCCACAACCCCTTGTAACTCCAACTCTAAGGGATTCAACACCCCTTTTTTTTTTTGTCTTTGTAGACACCTACACTTGTGCTGTTCACTCATACAGACAATACACATACATGAGAAAAAAATAACAAATTCTTCCAAAAGACAAAAAAGTAAAGAAGAAAGGGAATACGTTAAATAGAAGAAAAGAGAAACTATGGGTGCAGAGAAAATATTTGTAACTACATATTCAAAAGAGGTCCAGTATTTACAATATGTTTTTTAAAAACTTAAAAACCAACAACAAAAAGTAAATAGTCAGATTAGAACTTAGAAAAGACAGCAAGAAATATTTCACTGAAGAAAGAACTCAACTAGCAAGTTATCACATGAAAATGTATTCAGTACCAAAGCCCTGAGGGAAATACAAATTAAAGCCACAATGAAATATCACTTCACATTTAGCAGAAAGCCACCCAAAGTGAAACATAGTGATATATCAAATGCTGGAAAGCATGAGGAATATCATTTCTTCATTGCTATTGGGAAAATTAAAGAACATATCCGTTCTAGAGAAAAGTTTGTCAATTAAAAAGTGGTGATAACATATAACTACACAGTTCAGCGATTATGTCTGCAGCATTTACCCCAGAGGGATGACATGGGTTTACATAGAAACTAATATACAACATCCATAGCAAAAAACCTGGAAACAACCCAGATGTCTTTGAATGGGTACATGAATAAACAGATGGTGGTACATACAACAGAATGCTAGGAATACTATACAACCAGCAAAAGAACAAACTGTTAATTCATGCTATGACTTGGATAAATTGCCAAACATTACTGAGAAGGATGGGCTTTTTGGACACATAGCTGATAAATCCAAGTATTCTGGAGGCTGAGGCTGGATGGTGAATTTAAGGCTGGCCTGAGCTATAACATAAGTTCAAGTCCTGTCTGGTTAACTTTCAAGATCATGTCTTGAAATAAGAAGTAAAAATAGGGCTGAGTTGTAGCTCAGTGATAGGACACTTGCCTACCAGACAGAGACCCTAGTTCAGTCTCCAGTGCCACCTTTTAAAAAGGTACTGAGTGAAAAACTGTCAAGTGTGAAGCCTTCTAACAAGTGTAGAAATGGAGAACATTGAGGCTTCTGCCAGGGGTTACAGAGGAGAGAAAAGAATTGGGTATAGCTAGAAAAGGGATGGGGGCAGGAGGATACTTTTGCAGGGATAGAAACATTCCCCATGGTGACTTCGAGTTGCCAGTATCTTGTACTGTGCTTTGCAAGGGACTCGGATCATTTCTGCATTAAACCATCTACCTGCATGTAAATCTACAAACAGCTAAATAAGTGTAAATTCGAAAGTTTAATAAAAATCTGGGTTTGATAGCACTTGAGCGGTAGAAGAAGGCAGATCTCAGGCTGCTGGTGGTGGTTCATGTGTTTAATCCCAGCACTCGAAAGGCAGAGGCAGGTGGATCTCTACAAGTTCGAGACCAGCCTTGGTCTACAAGAGCTAGTTCCAGGGCAGGCTCCAAAGCTATGCAGAGAAACCCTGTCTCAAACAAACAAAAAAGAAGGTAGGTCTCTCTGAGTTCAAGTCCAGCCTGCTCTGCAGATTGAGTTCCAGGACAAGCAGGGCTACACAAAGAAACCCTGTCTTGAAAACAAGAAAAAAAAAAAAGATAAAAGGCAATTAGATGGTAGCACAGAAGGTAGAGGATAGATTGGGTAAAAATTTTGAGAGTGAGAGAATGAAGTTCAGGAATTCCAGTTAGAGAAGATGTTTCTTAAAATTCATTATATTATTATGAAGATTAATTTTGAAACTGAAGGGATTGAACCTAGGATAAGTCAATTCTCTTTCTTTTCTCCTCCTCCTCCTCCTCCTTTTTCTTCTTCTTCTTTTTTTTTGAGGTAGGGTCTCAAAAAAGTCATCCAGACCGGCCTTGAACGCATCAGCCTCCTGCCTCAGCCTGCGATTATAGGCATGTGCCACCAGCCTAGGCTAAGAGGTCTCTTTATTGTAGAAACTCATTTTTTTCTTTGTGGCTGCACAACTCCAAGTGTCTGGGGATGAAAGAAGTTCACTATGATGACTCGAGTGCCGAGGACTTTATGAGCTGCTGTTTGAAGTAAAGCAGATGGGGTCAAGTTTGGAAGATGCATGGGAAGGTCATGAGGTCATGGGAAGGTCAGGAGGTCCAGCTTAGCAGTGAGGAAGGGGAAAGCCACTTCCTTGTCCTGTAGCCCCATGGCCTACCTTGCACATAATGCATTTCAGTGACAACCCTGGGGCATATTCAGGGTACAGGGCTGAATCTCTGATGTCCTGGAGGCATCCATGCATTGGTGCTGGGTTCCTGGTTCCTTCACAAACTAGGCTAATCCCTCATAGACAAGGGTTAAACTTGGGCATTTTCATTTCTCAGGATTTCAGTCAATTAGGGATAGCCTTTTGTTTTGTCTTGTACTTATGGCTTAAAGTAAGGGTCCTAGCATGTCAGCATTTGACCGAAGCACCTGGAGAGATATTGAACAGATTTTGCAAGCAACTCCCACAAATTCTGATTTCACACATTTGGAGTGGGGTATGGAACTTGTTTCTTGAGAGCATCCAAACTCCTGGTTGAGAGACCATGCTTTTAAATCTACGGATGCAGAAGTGTGCAGATGTAGCCTGGCATGGTGGCAGCAGTAAGCCCAGTATCCAGAGGATGGAGGCAGGAGGACCCTGGGCTGGGGAGAGGGCTCAATATGAGTTAAAGCAAAGTACAGAGGGGTATATGTTTGTAACCCAGCACTGTGGGCCTGAGATAGATCCCAGGGCTTCATGGACAACCAATGCAAACTAAATTGCAAAGCTCCCTATCTCAAAATGCAAGGTGGAGAACTAGCTGTCTGGAAGACGCACACTATCAGACTCTGGCCTCTACTCATGAATACACTGCCCTGCAATACACTACACACACACAGGCACTCACGCCTGCATGCACACACACACAACCTAGTTTCAAAAAATCTAAATAAATAGCCGGGATGTTGGTGGCACACGCCTTTAATCCCAGCACTCGGGAATCAGAGGCTCGGGATCCTTGTGAGTTCAAGGCCAGCCTGGTCTACAGAGCGAGTTCCAGGACAGACTCCAAAACTACACAGAGAAAAACAAATAAAAATCTAATTAAATAGATAAAAGTAAATAATAAAAAGTAAGTAAAAATAAAGTGTGATGATGTAGTCTGCCCGAGCTTGAGGGGGGAACAGGTGAGAGCAGCTGAGTGTGTGGTTGGTGAAGTGGAGCCAGGTCTGGGCAGACCTGGGCAGTGGCAAAGGGTGTCACAGGAAGACAAGGTAACTTGGTATTGACTCTTGAAGTGGGGAGGTGAGGCTCAAAGGCTGGGAGTTGATATGGGGTTCACCTCCAGAAGATACAAGGCAACGTGAGTTTGAGTTTTGGAGCACAAGGAAGAGTTGGTGTGACTGAGTGGGTACTAGCAGTGAGAGGAGGGTTGGGTTGCCAGGTGGAAACTTCTGTCCTACAGTTCGGAGGAATACGGCGTTGGCGGAGCTCCGGGACCGGGCGGATCTCCCTGGTGGGGCGTGTCTCCGGGGAGGGGCGTGACAGCGCCTGCGATGGGTGGGGGCGTGTCGAGGGCGTGGCATGGCGCCAGGGCGGCGCAGGGCGTGGCCTCAAGGGGCGTGGCGTTCAGGGCTCAGCAGAACCGGCTATCTCCCGAGACTCCGCTGGATCCCGACCTGACCGCTGCGCCTCGCTCCAGTCTCCAGCCCGAGCCGTGAGCCGCCACCCCGCCGCCACCTCCAGGCTGCGCCGAGACGCGGGCATGAGCCCGCCCTGTGACTCGCGGAGCCAGCGTCCCCGGCCCGGGCCTCGGCGCTCAGGTAAATAGGGGAGTGTGAGGCGGGGAGGGGGTCCCTAGGCCGCACCAAGCTTTGAGATCCCAGCGACGCTCGCCCTGCGGCGCCCTCGGTCACCTCGGGAACCTGCGGACTCTCCCACCACGAGAGTGTCTTGCTTTAAAGGAGGAGGGCTCAGATGCGCCCCTCGAAGCCAACGGGACCCCGAAACTCCCTGAGCCGTCCCCCACCCAGCTCCTATCTCTAGGAAGCCCAGGTCTGGACCTTAACTCAACTTGCACCTCCACGTATCCCATCAGAGCAACCCAGATCCCCGGTTCCCTTAGCCTCTTTCCGGAAGCAGCCTTCCTCGCCTTCCTGCTCCCCAAATTCCAAGAGACTAACCCTTAAAGCCTACCGGACTTGCAAGTGGTTTTCTTATTCATTGCAGTCTCCCGGGCCAGAACTAAAAATCTTTCTCCTCTGGCTCTGGGATTCTGTCCACCTTCCTCCCTTGGAGACAGCTAACTGGTTTCTGTCACTGCAAAGGGACAGGAGCAGAGCCTTGGGGCTCTGTGCAGCCTGCCTGCCTGGAGCTGTGGGAGCAGAACAGTTGCCAAGCACTTGGATGGAGGGCTGGGGTGGAGGGCTTTGATAAGCCAGGACAGCTAGGGGCCGGGTGTCAGCTCCAGCACATTCCAACAGCCGCCAGGGGCTGTGCTTCCTGCACATTCCTTGCCGGCCCTTTTCGAGGGAAATGTGGCTGCTGTGTAGGCATCCCAGGTGGATCCTGGAAGCCGTGTCCCTCTCACTCTTGCTTTTCTCTGTTCCCCGGGTGCTGGGTATTCCTGGGCAGGGCAACAGGCTGAGCGTGACCTCATCCAACAACCCCAGCTAAGGTGGGGACTCTAGCCAAGCTCAGAGACAGTGTCAATAGCAGCACTAGTTCCCAGAGGCAGCTTTGAACCAAACTGTGGATCGTGGACCCCACTGGTTCTCCAGGTCTCTTGGACTTAGCTGGTCCTGCCAGTTGGCACTGAGATACAGAGAAGTGAGAGCCTGCTGCTGCTTGCACACTCTGGAAGCAGAGCTAGATAGAGGTAGTGAGGGGGGGGGTAAAGGATGGGGACAATCCTAGATAAAATTAGTGTCCCTCCCTAGATTGGGCACCTACTCTGTCCTCTGTCAGTGTCGTCGTCATTGGGATGGAGCTATAGCTAGACTGAAGAGGCTTGGACATCAGGGTCATTGTAGGTGTCTCTTCATGACCAAGTGATAGAACAGGAAAATCTCATTGTGACCGTAACAATGGATGTTGTGAGACAGCTAATTAGCAAGTCCAGGGTGTCAGGAGGGCCTTTAGGAGGAGGCAGACCTTCAGCTGAGATCTGAATGAAGCAGTGGAATATACTTGAGACCATGGGAGGAAATTGTGTTAGAGGCAGAAAAAAGCAAGTGCAGTGAGCTTCCCTGAGGAGGCATTTACATATTGAGAAGTGGCAAGGTAGCAGTGGTGTAGGGCATTGGGCCATATTCCTGGGCACCATGAGTGTTCAGATGTCCTGCCTCCCTGATGCTCCTCTGCCCAGTTTAGTATTTGGCCTGTCTTTGTGGCTCTCGTTGGACAGGACCTTTCTGGGGCATGGGAATCTGTGGGAACACACCCTGCTGGCCCTAGACAGCAACCACAGAAGGATGGGGGCAGCAGGTAAGTAATGGGGAGAGTTCTTCATGCAGGAGACAACCCACCTGCAACCAGATCTGTGCTGTGAGGTGGAAACAGATGAGTGACAGTGAGATGGTCTGATGGCTGATCTGCAGCCCTGATCTGTCAGGTGGGGCAGCATGGCCAGGCAGGCAACACTCAGGCTCTGCCACTGGTGGAGGAAGCCCCCTGTGTTTGTTCTAGAGCCAAAGTCTCCAGGACAGATTCTGGGAGGGAGCACTCAGTGCTGCCCATGGGGCAGGTGGGTAGGAGGGGTCCCAGGAGGCCCCCAGCATCCTCCTTATGGGATGCTGTCCTTCTTGGGGAGGGCAGTAATGTGTTGTCCAGTTTGGCTCTTTTTGGTGGCCTGGCATGGGCAGTTACTGTCCCACCCTTGGGACATTGGTACCAAGATAGAGGAGAGGTGTATGTGTGGGCTTATCCCTAGAACCATGAAAATGTCTACTGGAAACTCCTCTAGCCATCTAGGTAGCCATCCAGTGCTCAAGGGCTTTATGCCCAAAGCTAAGGGTGCTACATCTCAGGTCCTGTCACATTTGGAGGTGTCTGTCCCTTGCAGGCCTATGAGAGGCTGGTGGTGGCCATGGAGGGACAAGGGCTTTCTCACTTCCCCTAGTTCTTGCCTAGTGAACCTTTGAAAGACCTTCTTGGGGCAGGTTGGAGATGGCTATTTAAGACTGTACTCCCTCTTGGCAGGGGGAGGGGTGGACATGGATCCCTTTCTCGGTGCTCCCTTCTCCATCCTCACCTTCCCAACCCTCTTTACACTCCGTTTGGGCCCTGGGTCAGTATTTGCTCCTACAACCTAACTGGAAAGTGAATGAGACCAGAGGCCAGAGCAGGCTGCCAGGTCTTGGGCTCCCCCATAAATGTTGATTTTCAGTGGTCCTAGGGCTGGATATTCTGTGGACAGACACAGCAGGAAGCTCTGAGATCTTGGCAACCCATTGGCCCATGGGTTGCACAGGGGAGATGGCTGATGGAGCCAACAAGGAGTGGCCTGCACTGGGCATATGGAGGCTGTGGGTTTATGCCTGGCAGGAGGGTCTGGAGCATGTACTTACTTCTGGCCTCACTTCCTCGTTTAAAGTAGAAAGATTGGCCTTGAACTTGTGTTTTTCCTCCTCCTCTTTCTCCCTAGTGTTGGGATTACAGGCATATATCACCACATCCTACCCAGGTCTTTTAGCGGGGGTGGGGGGGCACCTAATGTGAAAACTGAGGGATTACACAGTTTCCTAGAGTCATACTGTCTGGGCCACCTTAGATGAACCCTGAGCCTAGTGGCTTCTGGTAGGCAGGTTAGGAAACTGGCCTTCAGTGCTGTGGACTGACTGCCAGGGGTCAACTTGCTAGTCCTTTTAGGAGGGTACTTCATGGAGCCAGTACTTGGTCTTGGGACAAAACAACCCCAGAGGCGGGCAGTGGAGACAGAGATGGGAAAATGACCCCTCTCTGGCTGCCAGAGCCCAGGTGTGACAGGATTGGTGAGGACAAGACCTGGGAGAGGCAGAGCACTTGGCTGCACTTGCTGTGGGGAACATCCTAGACATGGGAGCTGGAAGAGATAATATAAAGGGCCAATGGGACTATCACTGTACACAGGAGAGAGGTAACTGCTCTGCCCCACCTCTTGTTTGCATGTGCCCACTGGGGTGTCCCATCTGTTCCTTGTTAGGGACTCAACAGACAGGCCTCCAAGAGATTAATTAATGCCAAGATGCTGACGTACTGAGATTTGTGCTTGCCCTAGGGCCCCATCCTGGAAACACAGATGTCCAGCTGACTCCAGAAATGCTATTGCATTGCTACCCAATGTTCCTGGAGATGTGGGGAGCCATGTTGCTAGCACAGCCTTGACTCCTGAGTGAGGCTTCATAGCAGAGAAAGCTTAGGTGGTAGTAGGCAGCCAAAGGGGACTACAGGACAACGTTCCACTCAGGAGCTTCTCATTCCTCGTTCTCTGTATCCTGGGCTTGCTGTGTGACCTTAGGCTGGTAACTTACTCTCTCTGGGCAACTTTCTTTTCCAGTGTACTAGAGTATGAAGGTGTAAGATTGGGTCACTGCTGAGATTGCCTGGGTCTGTGTTAACAGATCCCAAATCTCCTCCTGCTATCTCCATTTTTCCTGCATTGCTTAGGCTATATCCCATGCCCTGGGTCATCCTTCCTATAATTAATACCTGACCATGCTCAGGACATGACATTGCTTGCCTTGGCTAAACCAAATGGCCTGTTGGGGCCATGGCCCCACCCTCAGGCTGGGCTACTCCTCCTAGCTCAGGGCCAGGGTAAGTGTCTACTTCCTCAGAGGCCACAGCCTACAGTCCCACACATTCCTCAGACTTATCTAGGGGCCCCACCCCCTGGACTCTGCCCTCCTACCTAGGAAACACTAGCACCCAGAAGAGCTATCCAAGAGTTCAGGGGCCAGGGGCAGGTTCTGAATGGCTTGAGCTGGTGACTCCCAGCCTCTCATCAGGGCTGGAGAGAACCAGGTATAGTGTGGTGGGCAGAGCAGGGCTTGGGGGCTGTGAAACCAAGAGTGCATTGTCTTTAACCTGGAAGTGCTGGCTTCTGTAGATACAGGACCCTGGGCCATTTCAATCCTGGAAGTTCTTCACTGAGATTCCAGTACCCAGGATCTGGTTGCTCTGGCAAGTTGCTTTAAGTCTGCCCCAAAGTTATAACAGGATGGCCAGGCTCTGCCAAGCTGAGGGGCCAGGCTCCTCCAGAGCCAGCTACCTCTGGTCCCCCCCTCCTTTTTTTAAACCATTACCTCCATAGCAAGCAGAACGGAAGCCAGCCAGCCAGCCAGCCCAGGAAGGGGTTAACTGCCAGCCCCAGCCTTGAGGGAGGGGACTGGGCTGGACCATTTTCCTGCTCTGCCTCCACCTCGCTTTTCCTGAATGGTTCTGCCGTCCTGGGGTGGGGAGGAAGGGAAGGAGGAAGGGCGGGCAGGCAGAGGGAGGGAGGAGTGTGGGAAGAGGAAGGAAAAAAGACCGAGACAGCCAGGGGGAGAGAAAGATGTCACTGGCTCTAATCTCCCTGTCATTTGGGTTTCTAGCAGGAGCTGGGCAGAGGAGCTGCTAGAACAATGCTGAGGCGGGGGAGGTGAGGAGTGTCTTGAACAGGTGGCCATGGAAGACCAAGACACCTGGGCTTATCACCTGGGCACCCCTCCCGGCCTCAGCCCAGCCGGCACTCCAAAGACAGAGGGGCAACCATGGCGACCAATTTCAACGACATCGTCAAGCAAGGCTATGTGAAGATGAAGAGCAGGAAGCTCGGGGTGAGCTACCCTGGCGGGGACCCTTGTCAATAAACAGTACTGAGGATGGGTCTGGAGGTGCGGGTGTGTGAGGGCCCGCCAGCACTGGGTACTGTGTGGTTGTGGTTCAAGGCTTCTCAACACTGGCTGGCCGGCATGTGCCCAGCCAGCCTCTGCCTACTGCATCCCTTGCCCCAGCTGGGCTGGCTGGCATCCCAGCCACTGGACCAGTAGTGGTAGCTGACAGTCTGGCAGAGGCATCCCTGCTATTGTTGAAGTTGTGGCCACGGCAGTGGCAGCAGCGGAGGAGGTGCCAGCAACCACTGGGTAGCAGGGTAGCAGGGATGACTGGAGAGTGAGGCTGTCAGAGAGAGAAGCTTTGGCTCCTGGGCCTCCTCCCCTTGCTCCCACCCCTTTTTCCTCCCTTTCTTGCCTTGCTCCCCACCTCTTCTGTCCTCTTTTCTTTGAAGTTAGAGAAGTGTGTTAGAGGAGGAGAGTAGCTTGTTTGGAGGTAGGGGTAAGGGATGGGGGCGGGGCAGAAGCTGACACTTCCCCTGATGTGTGGGTGAAATGGCCCTTGCTCTGGGATAGGCTGCTTTCTTTGGAGTTGCTGGCATTGTTGCCCTGAGCTGGGGCTTGGAGGGACACATACCCCTACTCAGCCCATACAGGTTTCCAGCTGAGGAAAATCCCCTGGAGGCTGAGTAGGACCCCAGGGTCCCTCTGACACCTATGTTCCCTTGCCCATCCCCTACTTCCAAAGAGAGGCTTTTCCCAGCAGGAAAGCAAGCCCTGGTGACAGGTGACTCAAATCTGTTTTACCCAGGCCTCCTGTCCCTCCCTGCTACCTTGATGGGTTAGGCTCCAGGCTTCCTGGGCTAGCCTGAAGGTGAGGAGATGCCCAGGGATCACCTGGCTTCTTCAGGACCACCTTCGAGGGCGGTGATTCTTGTTCCTCCTGCCTTTCTGGGGATGTCTTGTTTCCAGAAAAGGGCCAGCAGCTCACTGCCATCAGCTGGGCCATCAGTGGATTGAGGTAGGGCTGCTGGGCCTGTTTGGCGTCTCACTGGCCCAAGCCTGGTAGAGACCCTGCTCTATCTGAGACAGAACAAAGAGCAAGGGTGAGGCCAGGCCCAGAGGCTGGGAGAACAAGGACCTTGCTTCTGCCACCATTCCTTATTGCCATGCTTAGATCCAACAAGTCCCCAGGGGCTGGCAGAGCTGAGGCTCTGTCCAGGACAGGGCTTGCCAAGAAAGCACTGGCTATAGGGCAGTCATGTAGGGGACAGTGTCAGTCCTGTTCCCAGGAGATTCCCAGACCCCAAGTGGAGAGTGGACAGACCAGGGGAATGAACTGGCAGGTGGGGTGTGGCCTGGCCCAGACTGGTGTCTACTCTATCCAGGGACTTCTACTCTCCACAGACCTGAGCTTACCCTGCTATCATGAGGGGCTGCAGTTTGCAGCTGCCCCAGGCAGTGTTCTTGTCTGTCTCCAGAGAGCAGGGGTGGGGGTGCTGAAAGGAATGGAAAAGAGATAGAGCCTGCCCTCCCCTTCTACCTGCCAGGGCCTCCCTCCCTCCCTCCCTCAGCAGAGTAGAGCCTGGCAGAGTGCTTAGGAAGAGCTGATCAAAGACCTGTGAGAAGTGAGGAGAGCTCTTGAGTGCATGGCTCCCTGGGGTTGTGTGAGTGTGTATCTTGTAACCAGGCAACCAGAGTGCTGGGGAGGGGGGCAGGCCTCTACTCCCATGTTGCTGCCTGCTGGGGGCTGGGGTGCTTGGGTAGCTCCCTCCCATTCATTTATATATCCATTCATCCATCTGCCCATCTTCCTGTCCACCTTGTCCTTCACATGGCCACTCTCCTGCTCAGCATAGCTGTCAGTAATTGCTAGCAGGTCTAAGCAAAGAGTGTGAGAATATGGTATACATGGTTTCTGCTTAAAAAAGTTCAAGTGGACAGACCAGGGCTGAGCGAGGGACAGGGGTGCAGGGGCAGACACGCTTCCCAGGGTTCCAGATAGGAGCTGGAAGTGGCCCAGCTCTAGCTAGGAGTTCCAGGGAGGGGGACTGTCTATGTCCATTTTGCTCTGTGACTTGCCTGCCAAAAGCTTGGTGTACCTATGGCATAGACAGAGGAGGTAGCTGAGTTGGTGGCCAGCCCTTGGGACTGTGGCCCAGTGGCCTCCTCCCCTCCTCTGCTCAGCCCAGACCCCCTTTAGGACCCTCCTGTTTGCAATGCCTGGGGAATAGGCCTGCCAGGCTTGAAGCCTGCTGGCAGGAGCTGGTAAATCCATCACAGACCGGCTAAAGAAAGCCAGTAGGAGAGAGGAGCCTTACGGTTTATGGAGGAGCCTTTCATGGTGTCTGATAGGCCAGCTTGTCTCTGGAGAATAGTCACCTCCTTAGGAGTTTATGAAGCTCTGGAGAAATCTCAGTGGCCTGGAGCACAGGGCATTGGTTGGGACAGGCAAGAGACTGCTAAGGGAAGGGATTGTGCTGTGTGGTTACAGCTAGTTCTAAGCTCTGCCCCTTTACCCTCTGTAGGCCTCTGGTCCACAGAGGGACCCCCCTGTGGCACACTGTTGGTGAGGGAAAGCCTGGGAGCAAGAGTGATGCCCCTCATGCCAGAGCCATGGTAATGCAAAGCTGGCTGAATGCAAGGGGCCACTTCCTGTCCCTGGGAGACCCTGTGTGGTGGCCAGATCGGTCTGTCCTGGGGTGATGGGTGTGTCTCTGTCTTAACAGGAGCTCCACCTGTTAGGTCCTTCCTCTTTGCCTTTTTCATGGCCCACTTGCCATTGAAATGGAGGCAGCAATAGAACTGGCTTCAGCCCTGACACTGACTTGCTAGGAAGCACTCCACAGATGCTCCTTCCATTACGCATCACGTTCAGCGCACGGAGGATCACAGAACAGCTTAACAGAGGATCATGAACACCTGCCTTGGCCATTTGAGGAAGGCTGCCCCTCTGGTGACTGCTGTAGGGCAGTTACCATCTCCAGCTTTTCTCTAGGCTGGGTTCCAGGGAAGGATGTAGCACTGCTCCCCCAGGAGCCTGGGGTCCAGCAGCAACCTGACCTCTGTTCTTGACCCACAGATATACCGGAGGTGCTGGCTGGTGTTTCGGAAATCTTCCAGCAAGGGGCCCCAGCGGCTGGAGAAGTATCCCGATGAGAAATCAGTGTGCCTCCGAGGCTGCCCGAAGGTTAGGGGCTTGGGCCCTAGCTCCCCCCACCTGTGAGCAAAGATGACTTGCTGAGTTCTGAGGTCTGAGAGTACCTTCCTGGGGGGGCGGGGCATAGCTATGGGAGGTAGGGAGAAGTGCCCCAGCCGGGCTAAGCCTCTTGGGATGTCCTCCCAGGTGACTGAGATCAGCAATGTCAAGTGTGTCACACGGCTTCCCAAGGAAACCAAGAGGCAGGCAGTGGCTATCATATTCACGGACGACTCGGCTCGTACTTTCACCTGTGACTCAGGTGAGGCCCCAGGGCTGCAGGCTCTAACTGGTCTCCTCAGGCTGGTAACAGTCAGTGGTCCAAGCAACGGGGTAACAGCAGGGCCAACCCTGTTAGGAAGGGTGGGAGAGATATGTCCCTGGTGGAATAGGTCCCCAGACTGAGGTGGGCAGGCAGGCAGTAAGGCCTTGCCCTCCCTACAAGGTGCAATGACTTAAGCCAAGGTAGACTGGGTGGGCTGCTGGGGACTCTTGAGTTGGGAGAACTATGAAGTACAATTTCTCTCTAGAACTGGAGGCAGAGGAGTGGTACAAGACACTGTCAGTGGAATGTCTAGGGTCACGGCTCAATGACATCAGTCTGGGAGAGCCTGACCTCCTGGCCCCAGGAGTACAGTGCTTGCACACAGG